CCCGTCTTCTTCACCCTCCGCGTCTTCATCCGAAGCGGCCTTGGTGGACTCGGCCGAGGTCTCGCTGTAGTTGTCGGAAAAGGCCAAGACCTGTAAAACGGCTTGGGACGACGACGCAACAGGAGGCGGCGATGGCGAAGGCTGGGGCGACGAGGAAGGCGCACGGGTACGACTACTCGCCAAGTGCGCGACGTCGATCTCGTGGTCCTCGCCAGGTTGGAACGCTTGATCCTGGACGGTCGCGGGGTCCGACTTGTCGAATTCCTGGGCCTTCTCGATCTCCCTCTGGAACTGCTTCTCCATCTTTTCCATCTCGCGATAGAAAAAGGGATCGAAGAAGGCAGGGGGTGCCGCGAACCGCTCGTTCGCCTCGCCATCCAACAAGTCCCCGTGGGCCAAGATCATCCGAACACCCTTGCGGATGTCGGCCATCTCGGCGGCGTCGATCTCGGTCGCGGTGTGGACGAACATCGCCTTGATGCGTTCGTCCGAGCCGTCGTCGAAGTGCTCCTTCAGCTGACCAACGAAATCACGGAACTGGCCAATGGCCAGGACGCGGATCTCGTTGGCCGTGCGAAGAAGCCCGCCGTACGCGTCCAAGGTGTCGGCGAGACGGTTGGCGGACTTGTTGAGATCTGAAGACGTCGTCAGAAACGATCAAAAATAGAAATGAATGATAAGAGTGGACTCTTACCGTCCGCGCTCATCTGCGCGATGTACCCGAAGCGTTGCCCCATATACAGCTGCTCCGCGGGCTTGTAGCCGTTGGTGCAAGTCTGTTTATAGAGCACGCACGGGGCGCACCGATTGCCGTGGCGCCCGTCGACGCTCTTGAAGCAGACGCGCTGCCGCGTCACGCACATCGCGCAGGGCCTTGGCGCGACCTCCTATGAAAAAGGGAGTCAGCCGTCGAGGCATGGCAGAAAAAGATAAAGAAACGTACGAAGTCGGTTGGCACCTCGACGCCGGCCCTCTCCAACTTCCCCGCGAACCCTTGACGTGCCACCGAAAGGAGCGCCTCGGTGTCGTAGGCGGCGGGAGTGAACGGAGCTCGGGGCGTGGGGGCCGACGCCTTCACAGGAGTCTAGAAACAGTCAAGTCAGTAAAAAGTCGACGACAAGAAAAAGTCGCGACTCACCGAGTCAGATTTCTTCTTGGCCGCCGCAACGGACTTTTCTGCCTTCTGAGCCTTGAGCTCGGCCTTGGCCGCAGCGACACTCCGCTCGCGACCAAGGGTCGCGGCCACCCTGCCCAACTCACTGCGTGGAGTCTTGGTAGCGGCGGGAGCCGCCTGGGCAACCTAGAAAAGAAAGAAAATTGAGTTAGTCGACGTCTGGAACCCAAGATTAGTGTCTCACCTTAGCCACTGGGGTCGGGGTAGTCGTCGCTCGCGGGGCGCTCGCCTTGCGACTGGCCTCCACCTTTGGCACCGGTTGGGGAGGCACGGACTTGGTCGACTTGGACGATCCGTCCGCGACCTTCTTGATTGGCTAAAAAGCTGGATTAAGGGGCGTGGTCTGGGAAAAAGGAGCCGGCTTACCTTGGGCTTGACGCGGGTCTCGCTGACCTGCTTCTTGGTCACGACGAAGTCGCCGGTCTCCTCTCCGCTCTCGGAGGTGTCGTCCATGACGATGACGGACGGGGCTACGAAAGTATGAGTAATCGACAGAGGGGGGCAAGAGGAAGAACGCACTCAAATTCGATCGCGCTTTCCCCTTGGACTTGGGCCCCTGTCAAAAACAAACCAACCATGAGACGAAGAGACCACGATCGACGAACTGGGTCACTTACCTGAAGAGCCAGCTCGTCGGCCGAGGACGCGTCTCCCTCCTGGACCCCTTCGTCGTCGACATCCATCGCAGTGTCGGCGACGGCGGCGGCTTCCTCATCGCTGAGGGACTCGGGCTGCACAGGCTGTGCTTGGATCCGGGCTGGGAGGGACCAGGTGGTTAGTCTAGAGATCAATGAAATAAGACATAGGATTACACACCTACGTGCGTCTTCTTGTGAACGCGCTTGGGAAGTGACCCCTGTGGAATAGGGACCGAGGTAGCGGCTACGACAAGTCAGTACCCGCGACTCTGGTGAATGAAAGGAAAGAGCGACTTACGAGTAGGCGCGTGGGACGACGCCTTGGGCTCCTTTGCAGGAGTCGCCTTGGGTCGCTTCCCCTGCGACTTCTCGCTCGACTTCTTGGCGACGGCGACCTTGCTGCCCGCGACGGCGGCAGGGGCCTGCGGCTTGGAGCCGTCACCCTTCCCCTTCTGCTTGGCAGGCCGGGACGACGAAGGGGCGGCGACTTGTTCGGTTGGAGCCGCCTGGGGGTCGATCAGAACATAGTAAACGAATGAAACAGATTACACGTACGGGTTCGACGACTCGTTTGCGTTTCTTGGGCGGCGACGACTCCTCGACTGGAGCGTTGGTGGTCAAGGGCGTAGACGCCGGCTAGTCCTTACGTGAGTGAAAAGAAGGAAGGCCAAAGCGAACAGGCGCGGCAATCATTGATCGCCGTGACTGCTCGCTCCAGCGGGCTTAGAACGGAGCTCACCTGCTGGATCTGGCGGACGTCGACGGCCATCTGCCGCAACATCATGTTGTAGGCCTCAGGGCTAGGCAGGTGGTGAGTTGGATCGACAAGCCATGAGAGAGACATTGACTAACGGCATGAACTGCCGCCAGTCGATGGCAGGCGGGTTTGCTCCCGGGACAGCTGATTCGGTGACGGCTGATGGACGGTTAGCGTGGTTGAAAAGTCGCGGTAATCGTCCTGGGCGTCACTCACGGTTGTTGTCTTGGGGGCGAGGGCTCTGGTCGGGCGCGGACATGGTGGTCGAAAAGCAAGAGTGTCTCGTACTAGGGAGACTCTCGACCCTGAAAATTAAGGGCATTTATATGGTGAACATGCCGGAAGAAGTTTGATCGCGGCAGATCACGGAAGGAACCGAACAACCAAATGAATAAGACGTGGGAACATAACTCTATGCCTCCGCGGCTTTAATAATAAATGAATGAGGCGTCGACTGTTGGACTTAGACCTGACGCAGTGAGACTGTCGCGGGATTGACCAGGAGGTCAAAATTAGTGTTCCTGGGAGATGATAGGCTGGCTACCAGACGCGCTCTGCACCAGCTCTGTAAGGGCGTATTTTTGCGCTTTTTACAGAGTTTACTCTTGAACCATTCGGTGTATCGTGTCGCGGGTGACAGTGTTGCGCTCAGTAGGACTTATGGGTCTACTGCCCAGTCGACGACTGTGGATAGTGTCGACGATAGCAAGGCAGTCAGGCCACTACTGTGGAACTGGTCTTATGAGTCTACGCCAGGCTCAGGGCCATTAGTGACGAACGCTTGGACCGCGACCATTCCCCAGGAAGGGATCTGTCGTTGCGTCGACTTCTCGAAAAGGGTCATTCTCTGCAGATGGGAACTTGGGCTGAAGGGCTGAGCAATGCGCGACGTTCTCAATAATAGAACTACTACTGGACAGGACTTGGCGTTACGAGACTTAAACCATCTTGTCGCGGCAACTCCCGGTTTTGAGTTGGACGTTTCCTCAGATCATGCCACGACGACGACTTGTCACATGTCAGGATCCATTCGATCACGGGACATTGTGGACGCGTCGCGGTGACACTTCCAAGTGTCACGGCGAGTCGCGCCCATACCCAAACACACTAGAAACCGGCACGGCTAGATCCGTGAACCGAACCATGTGGGGGACGACCGGCGTGCCTAGAGCCATACGGCTTCTTGGGGCGCCCACGTTGGCCTCACATGCCAAGACATACCCGTTGGCCAATCCAGCACGTCGTATTCCAAAAGTATGACGCGGTGGGTTGACCCACATCAAAAGTATCATATGGACAATAGGGCGGGGTCCTGATCACTCAGGTCCTGTCCGATCGTTCAACTTTTCAATTACCCTAAAAGGCAACCGATCTTAGATAGCGTAGCTACTATGCAGTTGTACAGGACTTTACTAAGCAGCGTCGTAGACAGTATAAGTAGCACGTCGTCTCTTTGTATTAGGAAGCTTTCCCCCGGACTGTGAATCACTCTCATATCAGATTGTTTTGTACAATTTGCGTGCCGCGTGGTTCCACCCTAAGAAGTTCTGCTACCCCTGCCCGGTCGCGACGAGTTGCTCCCTGAGCACTTGTAGCTACTGTGATTTGAGTTTGAGTTTTGAGGCATCAGAAAGTCGGATTCGCCGCATCTGATTTAGTCGCGGCATTTAGTGTCGTCGCCTTCGGGCTTTGTTTGAGATCGTTCCACACTTCTAGCTTGGCAGTGCGTCGACTAGTTGTGCTCGGGTTGTTTTGGTCAGTTGGCAGTGCGTCGACTTGAGAACTTTGGTTCCACACTTCTTGCTTGGCAGTGCGTCGACAAGTTGTGCTCGGGTTTTGGACATTGGATATTGGCTGTTAGTTGGCAGTGCGTCGACAAGTTGTGCTCGGGTTTTGGACATTGGATATTGGCTGTTAGTTGGCAGTGCGTCGACGCGGCATTTTGGTTCTACTAGTTGGCAGTGCGTCGACTCAGTACTTTTGGTTGTGTCAGTTGGCAGTGCGTCGACTTGACATTTTGGTTTACTAGTTGGCAGTGCGTCGACTCAGTATATTGGTTGTATCAGTTGGCAGTGCGTCGACTTGATATTTGGGTTTTGCGTCGCCATCTGGACGCTGTCGCTACAAGGGATCTTAATACTTCGTATTAAGCTCTGACTTGTTATATTGTTGTTTGTGGATTGGATTAGTGTTGGTTGTGTTCGTATAGAAGATATTGGTTGAGATACCATTGTTTGCTATATATAAATTCTTGTCGTCGACTTCGTCTCCGCGACTATTGGATCTGCGTCTATTGAGAGTTGTGATACTGGTGCTCTGTCCACCCCGAAGCCCTCGCATCTTTCACACACTGAGAAGCTGATTACGAGGAGTGTGAACGTGTTTTATATTTGGGTTTACTTTCATAGTAGATTCACTTGTGAGCACGCCCTCAGCATTTCACCGGCTCAGATGGAGGCTGCACGGGAGCCGCAGGCGCGCGCGCAACACGTTCGAAGAGTCCGACGTACTTGTCCGACTTCCTCTTCAGGGGATTGACATTGAAATGCTCGTTGATTCGATCCGTGAGCATTTGCTTCGTGCCCGCACAGTCCAAGCCCAAATCATAGGTGACATCGACGAGCTCGGGCTTGGACCTACCCTGCAACATGCCATTGAAAGGCTCCTCCGGATCTCGTTCCTCTCTACGCTTCTGCGCCGCATCCTCCTTCTCCTTGTTTACTTTGGCACGGTCTCCCTTCTCCTTCTCCTTCGCCATTCTCTCTGCCTCTGCCTCTGCTGCAAGTTTCCTTCCCTCATCCGACGTCAAACAGCGCGCCTCAACGTTGAGCTTGGGCCGCTTAGTGGGTCGATTCTCCTTCGCATTCACTTTTTGCCTCAGTTCGATGACGTGGTCCTCGAGCAACGCCGCATGCGCCTCCAGTGCTCTGCATCGAGACTCCAGTCGAAGAATCTCTTGTATGAGCACTGGATCATAATAGAATTGTGCGGGAGTCATGGCTGTTGATCCAGGAGTTGTCGGCGGGTTGGGAGCAGCAGGGGGAACGAAAATCGGATCAGTGGGGAGGTGCGGCTGCGGCGTATAAGGGATATCGTTGTCATCATCATCGTCATTGGATTCGGGATCGTCGTCGTACATTGGTGGGACTACAGGGAGTTGAGATGGCGGAAAGTCGGGCAGATGGGGGAGCTCGCGCGAGGCTGATGAGAATGGAACGCTCGTCGCATAGTCTTCGCGATTGAAAACTGTACGGTCAATGGGCCACATCCCGCTCTTTTTGAAAGCTGATGAGATGGTGCTCGCCTTGAATGTCTTCCTTCGGGAATTGAAGCCAGTACACACATCCAAAAGGAGACATGTCATCGGAATGTTCCGGTCATTGATTCAATTGATGGTGTTGGTCGGTAAATCTCATTGTACCGTACATTGTCATGTCGATGTAATCTCTTTTTGCTGCTTCAATCATCTAATGTCTTTCTCTATGTTCTCGTTGAGCGTTCTGGCCGATGCTTCCACAATCGGTGCCCCCAAACTCGAGTGATCAAGCAAGACAACCCTTGTACTGCCCAAGTCAAGGCTCGACCCCAGGGGCAGCCGTTCCAGACGGGCACCTCGACCGTCGCCGAGTGCTCGCGGCTGAGCTCACAGCAAACGCTGGCGCAGCGGAACAACGACCCCGAGGAGGTGCGTCAGATCGACGAGCAGTTGGGGAACCTGGCGGTGGAGGCGGGTGGTGAGTCCAGTGCAGCGACGCCCGTCGTCGAGGACGAGGTCGCAGACCGGCTGGCGCGCGTGAAAGAGCGCAACCGCAAGGCGAACATGGAGGCAGTGCGGCTTGTGGAGCTCGTTCAGGCGGGGCGGAGGCAGCAGAAGCAGAAGGGACCGCATGCGAAGCTGGACTCATCTAGGTGTGTGTCGGCTGTTGCTGGTTTGTTTGTTTGCGGAAGCCTCTCATTCATGCTGCGTGTTGTAGGCCACAGACACCGGGTGTGGACACGCCGGGGACGGATGAGGCGCTGAAGGCAGATGGGAAAACGTTCGAGGCGGCTGTCATCGACTCGATCGAGTTGGATTTTGGGGACTTTTAGATTTGATAATGAGGTATGCTATCGAGCCTTCGTGGATAATTGAACGGTGTTTGAACTTCACGTCGGTCATTTGTACTTCGTGTACTAGCTTCATATTATGGACTCGGAATAATTTACCTATGTACCTATCATCTGGTCGAGATATTCCCATAAGCAATTATTTGACTCAGTTACAATGAGCGGGAAATGGCATCAACTACATCAATCTTTGTCAAGACGGCCGAAATGCCGGGGTGTCCCAAATAGGAACTAAGTGTGTACATGCTGTGCGTCCCTTCCTTCGTACGTGCATGTACTCCTTCACAAAGTCCTCCTTCCGCATCTCCTCACGTGTCCAATCGAGAATCTCGTCGCAATGCTCAGCCCATGCTCAGGAGAACGGTCCGAAGATGCCCACATCCAAGGGTTGGAGCTTGTGCGTTGTGTGAGGTGGAAGACAGAGCAAGATAATGCTATTGGCACGTGCAATGTCAATGATCTCAAGAGTATCGTGTGATCCGTGCCCATCGAGAACAAGCAGAATTGGTTTATCAGCGGTGCCACATTCCTCAGCATATTTCTTGGCTTGTGGAATGAAGCAGTGCTCAAACCAATGGGCCCCGATAAAGTTATCGGTCCACCCATTGATGGACATTGAGATGCTAGTCGAATGAATCAATTCTTATTTCTGATGTATGCAAGAAATTGGGACGCACTGGATGGCAATGTCGTTGTCAAACCATTCGGGACATTGCTCCTTTCCAGGAAATACAAACCCTGGGAGGACGGTAGTTGATCCGTCGGCACAGACTGCTTCGAGAATGGTGATGAGCTCCAGGTTTGCACTGCGGTGGCGATATTTTGCAGTCTGTCGCTTCGAATAAAAGTACTTGACACGCTGTGCCTTCTTCCCGCCTCCTCGCTGACATCCCTTCTCGTCCATGTTGTAAATGTTCTGCATGGGAATGCCATGCTTCTCGACCAGTGCCGTGAGCTCGTCAAAGTAGCGGTTGACAACCGGCTGATTGAAAGCCTGTGCGCGTTTTGGGTCCAATCCGGATGCCGTGCTGAGAATGAGATCAGGGTTACGCTTGAGGAACTTTCCGACCCAATTCCGGCTTGGTTTCTTCCCATCACGTCGGATAACAGCAGCACGTTTTCGAATAGCCTTCTTCGACAGTGGCACACCAATGCTGCCAAGATATGTTGCCCATTGAAGGAGCACTCTTTCTTTGGATGGAGAGAGAAACTGCCGCTCGGCAGCAGCTTCTGCCATGGACTTGTGCCGATTCTTCCATCTGTCAGAAAGAGTGGTGCCGGGAACACCGAACTTGACAGCCACGCGGGAGACAACGGCGGGATGGCCGATGCGACAACAATGAGCAAGGACACCCAAAGCCAGATCCAGACGTTCCTCCGGCTTGAGCTTCTCCAAAGCCTCGTGGACAGGTACATCATAATCCACCCCAGCCGGTGCGGTAGTCTGGCCTGCAGCCGAATTGCTCTTTTTCTGGGTTTCGTTGGCAGAACGCTTTGACGTGCGACTTCCTTTGACGTGTTCTCGAGATCCACGAGGCGTGCGTGGCATTCACAGCCTCAGAAGATAGATGTAGATGCGCACCAGAACGTAAGTGTGGCTGTGTGAAACGCGTCTTGACAGTCAACAAACGCGCTACGCGTAGGCTCACGTGTTCTTTCCCATCAGTCGGAGATTCAATTGTCACACTGAGCACTCTTGACATTGCATCTCTCGACCCACTGGCCGGACTGCCCCGGAATAAGTTGCAGACACTGTGTAAAGGTTATAGGCATCTCCGAACGCCTAACTGGATGCATCCGCGCAGATCATCCTTAACGGGACCACCAACTTGGTTTGGGAGGGCTCAATGAGAGTACCAGATGCGTGCGGTCAACAAATTGTTGACGGATTTTTCCCCTCTAAGTTTGTAGGATTAACTAATGGTATGTAAGGTAGAAATTCCGGATGATACTAAGAGTAATGAACGATATGCTACGAAATAGGACCACATTTTCGAACTTCGTGTGCATTTTCGAACTTGATGGCATCAATAGTATCCTATGGAGGCTCGGAAGGCCCTGCTCATAAACGAGACAGGTGACAGTGATGGGTGATGGGAGACCCCGTACACTTGGGTAGCCGTCAGAAATGGCCTCGGATGACGGGCACAAGAGTCAAGGATGAGTAACAGAGTGAAATGCCTACGGAGCGTATGAGCGCGCAGCCTCATGTGGAGAGGTAAGGGACTAGTCGGCGGTCGGGGGGCGAGCAAGTTTGATCCCAGTCCGAGGCATCCGCTGAAATGCTGAGGGCGTGCTCACAAGTGAATCTACTATGAAAGTAAACCCAAATATAAAACACGTTCACACTCCTCGTAATCAGCTTCTCAGTGTGTGAAAGATGCGAGGGCTTCGGGGTGGACAGAGCACCAGTATCACAACTCTCAATAGACGCAGATCCAATAGTCGCGGAGACGAAGTCGACGACAAGAATTTATATATAGCAAACAATGGTATCTCAACCAATATCTTCTATACGAGCACAACCAACACTAATCCAATCCACAAACAACAATATAACAAGTCAGAACTTAATACGAAGTATTAAGATCCCTTGTAGCGACAGCGTCTAGATGGTGACGCAAAGCCCAAATATCAAGTCGACGCACTGCCAACCGATACAACCAATATACTGAGTCGACGCACTGCTAACTAGTAAACCAAAATGTCAAGTCGACGCACTGCCAACTGACACAACCAAAAGTACTGAGTCGACGCACTGCCAACTAGTAAACCAAGATGCCGCGTCGACGCACTGCCAACTAACAGCCAATATCCAATGTCCAAAACCCGAGCACAACTTGTCGACGCACTGCCAAGCAAGAAGTGTGGAACCAAAGTTCTCAAGTCGACGCACTGCCAACTGACCAAAACAACCCGAGCACAACTAGTCGACGCACTGCCAAGCTAGAGGTGTGGAACGATCTCAACAAAGCCCGAAGACGACGACACTAAATGCCGCGACTAAACCAGATGCGGCGAATCCGACTTTCTGATGTCTCAACTCAAAACTCAAATCACAGTAGCTACAAGTGCTCAGGGAGCAACTCGTCGCGACCGGGCAGGGGTAGCAGAACTTCTTAGGGTGGAATCACGCGGCACGCAAATTGTACAAAACAATCTGATATGAGAGTGATTCACAGTCCGGGGGAAAGCTTTCTAATACAAAGAGACGACGTGCTACTTATACTGTCTACGACGCTGCTTAGTAAAGTCCTGTACAACTGCATAGTAGCTACGCTATCTAAGATCGGTTGCCTTTTAGGGTAATTGAAAAGTTGAACGATCGGACAGGTCCTGAGTGATCAGGACCCCGCCCCATAGTCCATATGATACTTTTGATGTGGGTCAACCCACCGCGTCATACTTTTGGAATACGACGTGCTGGATTGGCCAACGGGTATGTCTTGGCAAGTGAGACCAACGTGGGCGCCCCAAGAAGCCGTATGGCCCTAGGCACGCCAGTCGTCCCTCACATGGTTCGGTTCACGGATCTAGCCGTGTCGGTTCCTAGTGTGTTTGGGTATGGGCGCGACTCGCCGTGACACTTGGAAGTGTCACCGCGACGCGTCCACAATGTCCCGTGATCGAATGGATCCTGACATGTGACAAGTCGTCGTCGTGGCATGATCTGAGGAAACGTCCAACTCAAAACCGGGAGTTGCCGCGACAAGATGGTTTAAGTCTCGTAACGCCAAGTCCTGTCCAGTAGTAGTTCTATTATTGAGAACGTCGCGCATTGCTCAGCCCTTCAGCCCAAGTTCCCATCTGCAGAGAATGACCCTTTTGAGAAGTCGACGCAACGACAGATCCCTTTCTGGGGAATGGTCGCGGTCCAAGCGTTCGCCACTAATGGCCCTGAGCCTGGTATAGACTCATAAGACCAGTTCCACAGTAGTGGTCTGACTGCCTTGCTATCGTCGACACTATCCACAGTCGTCGACTGGGCAGTAGACCCATAAGTCCTACTGAGCGCAACACTGTCAACCGCGACACGATACACCGAGTGGTTCAAGAGTAAACTCTGTAAAAAGCGCGAAAATACGCCCTTACAGAGCTGGTGCAGAGCGCGTCTGGTAGCCAGCCTATCATCTCCCAGGAACACTAATTTTGACCTCCTGGTCAATCCCGCGACAGTCTCACTGCGTCAGGTCTGAGTCCAACAGTCGACATCTCATTCAGTTATTATTAAAGCCGCGGAGACATAGAGTTATGTTCCCACGTCTTATTCATTTGGTTGTTCGGTTCCTTCCGTGATTTGCCGCGATCAAACTTCTTCCGGCATGTTCACCATATAAATGCCCTCAATTTTCAGGGTCGAGAGTCTCCCTAGTACGAGACACTCTTGCCTTTTGACCACCATGTCCGCGCCCGACCAGAGCCCCCGCCCCCAAGACAACAACCGTGAGTGACGCCCGAGACGATTACCGCGACTTTTCAACCACGCTAACCGTCCATCAGCCGTCACCAAATCAGCTGTCCCGGGAGCAAACCCGCCTGCCATCGACTGGCGGCAGTTCATGCCGTCAGTCAATGTCTCTCCCATGGCTTGTCGATCCAACTCACCACCTGCCTAGCCCCGAGGCTTACAACCAGATGTTGCGGCAGATGGCCGTCGACGTCCGCCAGATCCAACAGGTGAGCTCCGTTCTAAGCCCGCTGGAGCGAGCAGTCACGGCGATCAATGATTGCCGCGCCTGTTCGCTTTGGCCTTCCTTCTTTTCACTAACGTAAGGGCTAGCCGGCGCCTACGCCTTCGACCACCAACGCTCCAGTCGAGGAGTCGTCGCCGCCCAAGAAACGCAAACGCGTCGTCGAACCCGTACGCATACTCTGTTTCATTCGTTTAACTATGTTCTGATCGACTCCCAGGCGGCTCCCACCGAACAAGTCGCCGCCCCTTCGTCGTCCCGGCCTGCCAAGCAGAAGGGGAAGGGTGACGGCTCCAAGCCGCAGGCCCCTGCCGCCGTCGCGGGCAGCAAGGTCGCCGTCGCCCAGAAGTCGAGCGAGAAGTCGCACGGGAAGCGACCCAAGGCAGCTCCTGCCAAGGAGCCCAAGGCGTCGTCCCATGCGCCGACTCGTAAGTGGCTCTTTCTTTTCATTCACCAAAGTCGCGGGTACTGACTTGTCGTAGCCGCTACCTCGGTCCCTGTTCCACAGGGGTCACCTCCCAAGCGCGTCCACAAGAAGACGCACGTAGGTGTGTAATCCTATGTCTTATTTCATTGATCTTTAGACTAACCACTTGGTCCCTCCCAGCCCGGATCCAAGCACAGCCCGTGCAGCCCGAGTCCCTCAGCAATGAGGAAGCCGCCGCCGTCGCCGACACTGCGATGGATGTCGACGACGAGGGGGTCCAGGAGGGAGACGCGTCATCGGCCGACGAGCTGGCCCTTCAGGTAAGTGACCCAGTTCGTCGATCGTGGTCTCTTCGTCTCATGGTTGGTTTGTTTTTGACAGGGGCCCAAGTCCAAGGGGAAAGCGCGATCGAATCTGAGTACGTTTTTCTCTTGTCCCCCTCTGTCGATTACTCATACTTTCATAGCCCCGTCCGTCATCGTCATGGACGACACTTCCGAAAGTGGGGAGGAGACCGGCGATTTCGTCGTGGCCAAGAAGCAGGTCAGCGAGACCCACGTCAAGCCCAAGGTAAGCCGGCTCCTTTTCCCAGACCACGCCCCTTAACCCAGCTTTTTAGCCAATCAAGAAGGTCGCGGATGGTTCATCCAAGTCGACCAAGTCCGTGCCCCACCAACCGGTGCCGAAGGTGGAGGCCAGTCGCAAGGCGAGCGCCCCGCGAGCGACAACTACCCCGACCCCAGTGGCTAAGGTGAGACACAAACCTTGGGTTCCCAGACGTCGACTAAGTCGTTTTCTTTCTTTTCTAGGTTGCCCAGGCGGCTCCCGCCGCTACCAAGACTCCACGCAGTGAGTTGGGCAGGGTGGCCGCGACCCTTGGTCGCGAGCGGAGTGTTGCTGCGGCCAAGGCCGAGCTCAAGGCTCAGAAGGCAGAAAAGTCCGTTGCGGCGGCCAAGAAGAAATCTGACTCGGTGAGTCGCGACTTTTTCTTGTCGTCGACTTTTTACTGACTTGACTGTTTCTAGACTCCTGCGAAGGCGTCGGCTCCCACGCCCCGAGCTCCGTTCACTCCTGCCGCTTACGACACCGAGGCGCTCCTTTCGGTGGCACGCCAAGGGTTCGCGGGGAAGTTGGAGAGGGCCGGCGTCGAGGTGCCAACCGACTTCGTACGTTTCTTTATCTTTTTCTGCCATGCCTCGACGACTGACTCCCTTTTTCATAGGAGGTCGCGCCAAGGCCCTGCGCGATGTGCGTGACGCGGCAGCGCGTCTGCTTCAAGAGCGTCGACGGGCGCCACGGCAATCGGTGCGCCCCGTGCGTGCTCTATAAACAGACTTGCACCAACGGCTACAAGCCCGCGGAGCAGCTGTATATGGGGCAACGCTTCGGGTACATCGCGCAGATGAGCGCGGACGGTAAGAGTCCACTCTT